TATATATATATATATATATATATATATATATATATATCTCACACAAATGTTATGTATTGGTATATTTTTCTGGAATTTTTTTTTTAAATACTAGTATTTATTATACAGAAATATTTGATTCTTATTAGTCAGTCATAGTATTCTGCAGTCAAATGTGTATGTACACTGACCACTAACTAACTAAATAACTAACTAACTAACTAACAAAATAAATAAACAAACAAACTATATTATAAATTATAAACATTTGTGATATGTTTATTTTCTATTAAATTTACATTGAAAAAAATGTTTGAAAACATTTCTGAAATGCTTGATCTTGATTCTGATTCTGGTCATTTGAGGCATTCTCCGGTCAAATGTTTTAGTAAAAAAACCACTAAATTTTGTTATTAATGACAAATATTTTAAATTATAAGTTATAACTATTATGAATTCTAATCATGAAATACTTATATTTATGCTGTCAATTTCAGGTTATTATTGTTAACAAAAACTAAACTAAACAGAAAACGAAATAAAAACTTATTCAAAATGTTAACAAAACTGGAAATAATGGATCAGTGATACTAAAATAACTCTACTTCATGTATGTATTTATTTATTTATTGTTAAGTAGTTGTAATAAGCAGTCAGCCAGTCATTATTGCAAAATAGACACTGACATGGGAGATCAGGATCACTAGAGATGAACTTCCAACCAAACCTTCATCAATGCTAATTGAAATTAGCTCTTGCCGAAGGTTGAAGTAAAATCATATAGCCCCAGATGAGGCTTCCAGATTAGCCTGAGGGAGTCCTGTGATGTTCAGCGTGTTTAACACTGCTTTATGTGTCTCCAGCTGATTGGCAGACCTTTCATCCCTCCATACTGGTCTCTGGGCTTCCAGCTCTCTCGCTGGGACTACGGCAGCCTGGAGGAGGTGAAGAAAGTCGTGGAGAGAAATCGACAGGCTGACCTTCCGTATGTAAGTGCCAGGAACAGAAGGAGGGTCCTCACTTTGTTCTACAAAACTTGATTCTACCCTTCAAAGCTGCAGCCAAGAGCATGGAACAAAGCCTACCGATTCATGAATAATGACTCCACATATGTGCATTTTACCTATACATGCAGTTAGAAGCGTTTAGCACCTTATGTTGGGACTCTAATTGCCGAAAGATGGACTGAAGCAATTGTTTGATGTAATTCGAACAAAGAGGGCATTAGCATGTCAGGATATTACATCTCCGCCTGATTAGCATTAGAAAATTACTGGCAGGAGAATCTCACCATCTGCTGATGGTTGATGGAAGTCAAACCTTCCAGAAAAATCAAAACAGACAACAATGAATCTACAACGTTAGCATACAAAAGAGGCATCAGCCATCATAGAGACTGAAGGTGCTGATTCTAAAGGATGAGATTGCAATGTCATAATGAAATATATGAACATTAACAACCTGTTTACACTTAAAAATGAATGTGCCAAAAGCAGGTTTTCATAGCAATCTCATAGAAGAACCATTTTTGGTTCCTCAAAGAACCTTTCAGGAAATAGTTCTTAAAAGAATCATTATTTTCTTAGCATAAAGAACATTTTTGGAATGTTAAAGGTAATAAAGAACCTTTATTTTTAAGAGTGTAACTTCCATAATTAGACGTTGTGAAGCAGGATATTCAATGAGAGAACATTTTGATTTCATCTTGATTTTACCAGGACTCAACGCTGAACCGTCATTATTTTGTGTTCCAGGATGTCCAGTACACTGATATTGACTACATGGAGAACAAAAAAATCTTCACCTATGATATGGATAAATTTGCGGAGCTGCCTCAGTTTGCTGACTACATGCATGATAAAGGGCAGAAATACATCGTCATACTGGTGAGCCATTGAAATTGCAGTTTTATTTATGCTGAGGTCCAGAGTTTTATAGGTTGGCAAGTTAGTTTTGGAGTTTTGGACGAGTTTTGAGTCATACATTTCGACCCTTTGCCGAATTAGATTTTGTGGAGTTGAACATCTCAAAACTTTTTCTTCTTGGTAGGATCCTGCCGTATCCACAGGTCAAAGGATAAATGGACCCTATGATTCACTTGAGAGGGGACATGCAGCTAAGGTTTGGGTCACTGAACCAGATGGGGTAACGCCTCTACTGGGAGAGGTAAGATCCTCCAAAGATTCTCCTGATCGGGGCATTATGTTGGTTAATTGTTACTAGGGTTTGGAATTGAGAACTGGTTACTTTTCATAAAAATGACTGAACTAAATGATTTACATGCATTTGGTTTTAGTCATTTTTGTTGGACATCTGAATTTTTACACTGATGTAAACAGATAACATACTGTATTGCAATACATTGTCCTTGCTGGTTGAAATAAACAGAGTGAAAAGGGCTTGATCTGGGAACAGATGACTAATTTATTTTTGATAAATTTTTCACTAAAAAAAACAACAACTGAAAACGTCTGGAATGATTAGTCTAAAAATGTAGCTTTGCATCACAGGAATAAATACGATTTTAAAATATATTTGAATAGAAAACTGTTATTTTAATTTGTAATAATATTTCACAATTTTACGATTTTTACTGTATTTTTGATTTAATAAATGCAGCCTAATAGAGAATGGGTACTACTTAATATATAAAGTATAAATAGTTATTTAGAGATGGAGAATTGGAGCTACTTACTCAAAATAACTGAAAGACTGGAGTCATTAAGTTGAATTAGAATCAGAGCCAGACTCATTACATTTCTTACTATTCCCATCCACCTTTTTACCCATTAAATTATATTAATTACCCAATTCTACTTTGGGAGACAATTAAGTTATATTTACACATTTATTTTAGAAATGAATCTTGTGCCGTGTAAACATATGTTAGAATAGAATAGAATAGAATAGAATAGAATAGAATAGAATATTTGGAATGAAGGAGAATAAGTTAAGAGACGTCGAATACGTGAATGATTGAATGAAGAACATCATGAGTTGCCATGTGACTTGCCATGAGAGAGACCATTAATTTACCAACTGTAACCTTGAGTTAGATCATATACTGTATCAGTCACCCCTCAGGGCAAAAGACACATATCACATGGCAATAATATCACTTGTGATTATTTAGCCGATTAGGCACAGGCAAATGCTAATTGCTTTTTTTATGGTTTTATTTCAGGTCAGTGTTTGCATTGATTTTGCATTAGAGTTTAATATCATGCTTTCATGCAGCTCAGAGCCATGAGAGATGAAAAACAGAAAAGAACTCAAGAGGGAATGGAAATGCCAGTGGCTTAAAAACTAAAAGACATACAAGGAAACATGTAGAAAGACCGTTTTTTTCTTTTTTCTTTTCTTTTTTGCAGTGCTAAATGTCATCTGTGACCAAATGGGTTGTTAGTGGGCGAATTTCTTAAAACAAGGGCATTTTACCAAAATAACCAAAGGAAATAACAAATATTTGAAATAGATAGATAGATAGATAGATAGATAGATAGATAGATAGATAGATAGATAGATAGATAGATAGATGGATAGATAGATGGATGGATGGATGGATGGATGGATGGATGGATGGATGGATGGATGGATGGATGGATGGATGGATGGATGGATGGATGGATGGATGGATGGATGGATGGATGGATGGATGGATGGATGGATGGATGGATGGATGGATGGATGGATGGATGGATGGATGGATGGATGGATGGATGGGATGGATGGATGGATGATGGATGGATGGATGGATGGATGGATGGATGGATGGATAGATTATATTTATTTATTGATTTTTCACTTTTTTATTATTTTTTTATTTTATATATTATATTACATTTTTATATTATTTTTCATTCATTCCGTTGTGTCACAGGTCTGGCCAGGGGAAACCGTGTTTCCTGACTACACTAACCAGGCTTGCATTGATTGGTGGGTTGATGAAATTTCGCGTTTCCACAAGGAAGTCAAGCATGATGCTCTCTGGATTGTAAGTAATCCGCAGAGATCATTACCCGTGAGCAAATATTGAACCTAATCGTTTTATGACTTGGTGAAAAGGTCACGAAAGGTCATGAAAAATATTCACCGATCTCCAACTTCCTACAGAGTCTCCAAAATCAATACTATATATGTCACTGCATCAATATGTATTAATCATGATATTCAAACACAGCAAAGCTCTATAAACATCTGATCTAAAATACAATATAAACCGCAAAAGCTTTTAAGTCAACATGAAATCAAAATCGACCTTGCTTACAGTAGTAATTCATCAATCTCCTATTAATTTTGATTCAATTCATTTGTATAGCGCTTTCACAGTACATATTGTTTCAAAGCTGCTTTACAGAATATGTATGTTTCAAATATTACAATCAAGCGGCGACTGTGTCAAAGAAGAAACTCATTTTACACCATCCAATCAATTCCTGATTGATAAAATCAAGTCCTGCCCTACAATTTGTTTTGCTGAATATTCTGATTCAGAAATGCGTCACATTATAAAAAGTAAAATGGTTGCAAATGCCATTTCATGTTAACTTTAAAGCCTCCCTAAAGGGTTTTGCTTTAATCTTGAGACAATTATTAGGGAGATGAATTAGGGAGTGCTGAACTAATTTCTGTTTTATTTCTAAGGACATGAATGAGGTGGCCAATTTCATCAAGGGAGGCATCAAGGGCTGCGCTGATAACAAACTCAACTACCCTCCATTCACCCCATGTGAGTCTCGAATGCATCTACAGCTAGACTAATTCATAGCTGATGCATTTCATCTGTATACATCCATCTTCTTCATTTCCATTCGACTCTACAGGTATCCTTGATGACCTGATGTACAGTAAGACCTTATGCATGGATGCTAAACACAAATGGGGGGACCACTATGATGTCCACAGTCTCTATGGGTACTCTATGGTTCTGGCTACTGACAAGTAAGTGTTTTGCAAGCACCTGGTTTATTTACGTTGCAAAAAAACATGGTTAATACTGCATAGATTGTTTTTAATAAACCAATTAAAGATCTAGGTCACACTACATCTTTGAGTTTTTTTTTTTGTATTGTACACCAGGATGCATATTTTTCCTCTGAAGCACTGCCTTTAGAAATATGATTCACATTTATTTATGAGTAAATAGAGATAGATAGATAGATAGATAGATAGATAGATAGATTGATAGATGTGTTTGCTGAATGTGGGACAGTACACGACAGGTGTGAGTCAGTCACAGCAGTATGGCCTAACTAACCCGTGACTAACGTATGGCCAGTATTGTCATATGGCAGGATGTTCTCCTCAAAGGGGGGTGAAGAGAGTTAAGTTGTATCATGATTGTTCCTTTTTTTCCCTCCTTTTATTTCCAGCAGGAAATCTGTTTTACTCATCTTGTAATTTCTACATCATTGATTTGTTCCACTCTCGTTCCTCTACTCCCCCTCTCTCATTCAGCTTAACTCCCACATGTGTGTTTGTCATCTCTGTGCTTTCCTAGGCCACCCAACGGCGTTGTGTCTTTTTAATACCATTGTTTTATTGTGGTGCCAACACTCCCTATGCATCTAATATTGTGTTTTTGTTTCCAGGGCGTCAAAAGCAGTGTTTGGGACAAGCCGTTCCATGGTCTTTACCCGCTCCTCCTTCCCCGGGGTGGGCAAGTACTCTGGGCACTGGTTGGGTGACAACGGCGCCAACTGGAATGACATTAAGTGGGCGATACCCGGCATGCTGGAGTTTAACCTCTTCGGAATCCCTTACGTAAGTGGTTTGACTCCAGACGAAACATCTTTTCCAACATGGGTAATTGATGGTAGACACCAGTCTGTCTTTGTAACACAACAGCCCCACTGAGAGACATGGAAAGCGTTTGGAGAAAGCTTTTGGTTTTGATTGAGTTTCCATGAAATGCAATGAGAAATTGAATGGGCATTCGGACTCCGTGTTCAGGTTGAATTGAGTTAACATTGACTGGCCGACTCAACAGTCAGATCCAATGAATTTATCATGGGACGGACGATGTAAACTTTTATTGCTGCACAATATTACCTGATAACCAAGCTTATTGTGATTTGTATTTTGGGGTAAATCCTGTTATTTTTATTATAATATTTTATAATTTTTTATAATTGAAATGTTTTATTATTATTATTATAACAGTACATAACTGGTGCATATTGCCCAGAGGTTGATCTAGTTCTCCCTTATATTGCATTTTTATTTAATTATCAACTGTTATTAAGATTTTTCTCAGAAAATTTCAAATGGGAACTAAACCTAGACACAAATACAGTAAGAAGATAAAGCAAAAACAAATAAAATAAATGTGGATTGAAACTCAGTTTGCCTTGATGAGAAATATTTGTTCTTACTGAGATTTCTCACTTTTGACTGCAGACTTTGGAGTATTTTAAATATCAGGAGATTCTCATATTTGGCTCATTCAAGTATAAACTTTGCTTCTCAGAAAATTCCGTGAGGTATTCAAATGAGTCACTAGTATAATTCGTAAAAGTATAAAGCTATAAAATATTACCAATAAAACATTTTATTAAAACTTTAGAATATAGACATTTTAATGCTTTTAATTGCAGAATACAGACTTTGGTATTTTGGTAAATATGAACACAATCTGAGACATTTTTGATCTCTTCTGATACTCCAGGGAGACGCTTGTCAGACTACAAGTGTCTTTTTCATATATAAAATACTGGAGTCTCTGCTTAATCTCCATTTAATTGCCTTGCTTTTTTGGGGAAATGGTTGAGATAATAAAGAGCAATTTTTTTCCCTCCTCTGGAGAGATACTGAATCTCATGATGTTATTCTGTAGATCGGTGCGGACATCTGTGGGTTCTTTGACAACTCGACGGAGGAGCTTTGCACACGTTGGATGCAAGTGGGTGCATTCTACCCCTTCAGCCGTAACCACAACGCGCAAGGTTATGCAGTACGTATTGCCATTTAAATACTCATAAACATTCAGTCTCAAAGTGTACGAAGCATCATCCTCTTCAAACATCTGTGCTACGTGTTTCTAGCCCAACGGCAAGGCTCTGAATTATAAACGTGTCCTCTCTCTTTAAATGCTATTTGTAGAAGATTTATTTCTCTAATCATTATTGTGAGATTGGCGTGAGAGAAGCAATCAGACCTCCGGAGAGAGAGTTTGAGAGGGCAAATGAGGATGAATGGAAAATTATATTCTTGGTGAAATTAAATGAATAAGATTTGACCTTTTAGTCGGAGAGTAATCATTCCACGGCTGTCTCCACGACCGATGGCTCTCCGCCATGATGAACATATTATGAGTATCCACACAGTAAAATCCATTTCTCTCTTTGATCATCAGCTTACTCTCCCTGACTTTCTTACAGGACCAGGACCCTGTAGCATACGGCATTGACTCTCTCGTGGTGACCACCTCCAGGCATTACCTGAACATCAGATACACCCTCTTGCCGTACCTCTACACTCTGTTCTACAAGGCCCATGTTAACGGAGAGACCGTAGTGCGTCCCGTAATGCACGAGTGAGTTCAGAAGCACATGCAGTGCAACAGTTTTAGCCTCAAAAAACAGCAAGTGTTTGTTGTTGGTTCTGTTTATGAACTTCAATTATTTCTATATGAGTTCTCTCAGAGGTGTGTGTAGAACATAACACTATATATATATATATATATATATATATACTTAGTTTAATTCATCTTAATTATATTAAGTAAGTGCACTACCATTCAATTTTTTTTTTTCAAGAAATAATCCTCTTATTTGGCAAGGATACATTAAATTGATCAAAAGTGACAGTAAAGATATTTATAATGTTACAGACAATTTCTGATTCAAATAATAGCTGTTCATCAAAGAATCCTAAAGAAAATGTTATGTTTTCCACAAAAGTATGAAGCAGAACAACTGATTTCAACATTAATAATAATAATAATAAATGTTTATTGACCAGCAAATCAGTATCTTAGAATGATTACATAATTTCTGAAGCACCATGAGACACTGCAGACTGAATTAATGGCTGCTGAAAATTCAGTTTTACTCATTAAAAAAATATAAGATACTTCTTTCAAAAACATTTGAATGTTTGAATTTTTCTAACTTGTAAATTGTACTACTGCATTTCCTATTTTCAATTAGATTAACAATCTAATCAAATATTTTTACAGACTTTTGTTTTGTTTTATTTTATTTTGGTATGTTTTGTTTCATTTTGTTTTGTTTTGGCATAACATTTGGTATTGTCTTTCTTGGCATGTTTTGTCTTGTATTGACATATTTTGTTTTGACATGTTTTTTGTTTTGTTTTTTTTTTGTTTGTTTTGGAATGTTTAGAATGCTGTATTAACCATTCAGGAACTGCTTTATAAGATTTGCTTCCTGCTCTGTAGGTTCTATTCCGACATTGAAACCTGGGCAGTGCACAAACAGTTCATGTGGGGAGCACATCTTCTCATCACACCTGTGCTGGATCCTGTGAGTACACACACACACACACACACACACACACACACACACACACACACACACACTGTTGTATGACTTCCTGTGGGCCCATGTGGACAACCTCCTCTGGGACAAATGTGAGGAAGATGAGACTCTTTCCCACTCTTTTCATTTCCATCGCCTTTTCTCTCTTTCTAATGAGATCGTCGACCTCATTATGAAGAAATTAGAACTGAATATAGATCGCGGCCATGTGAAAATGGGTGATGAATTGTTTGAACAGTCTAATGTGGCTTCATGCATTTTATCAAGAATATGACTGATTCAGACTCTTCAAGTTCAAAGAGCTTCCCACGAGAACACGGCAAAAGGCCCGTTTTGAGAAAGTTTGATGCACATACGTCAAGAGACGCCTGTGTTGGGGTTATTCAAATCTTTAGAGACCGTATGTGATGTAAACACTTCAATCAGCTGCAAAATCCATATGCATCAGCTGCATGAAAGATTATGATAATTTCTGGACCATGTGGTACGAAAAAAAGTGTAAGGTGCTATAACAAGTTGCAGGGAAGAAAAACTGCTGTTGTTTTTCATCTTGCAAGCATTAAATTAATGACACCCAACATCTAACTTGCAAATCAGTTGAACTTTGATCTTCTCAACAAGGGTTTTGACTAGGGAAATCTATTCCCACGTTCAGATTTTTTTATCATATTAGCCATCTTTTTTAAGTGCTCAAATGTTCTGCTTCATCTTCACACTCTCAATTAAAGAGTCAGGTATGTTGGTGCGCATCAAAAAGGGAGGAGCCACCACTGTGTGGAGGTCAGGACTGCTTTCAACTCCAAAAAAACTGTAAAAAAAAAAAAAAGTTATCTTGTTGTCTATATCGCCGGGCCCAAAGAATGACTGATAGTTAAATCGCAGGTCTATGGCTTTGAGAATGACAACACAAGATATATATGCTTAAGAAGATCAGACAAGTTTTACTAATTCTAAAATTATAAGATTATATTTGCATTTTTCTATACACTACCATGAAAAATTGTGGGTTCAGCACGATTTAATAATAATAATAATAATAATAATAATAGGATGCATTCAATTAATCAAAAGTGACAGTAAAGGTTTTTATTATGTTACAATTTATATAATATTTATATATATATATATATAAATATATATATATATACAAACAAAGCAGCAAACCAGCATATTTGAATGACTTCTGAAGGATCATGTGACACTGAAGATTGGAGTAATGATGCTGAAAATTCAGCTTTGATCACAGGAATAAATTACATTTAAAAATATATTAAAATAGAAAAGAGTTATTTAAAATTCTAATAATATTTCACAATATTACTGTTTTAATGTACTTTTGAGCATAAGTGACTTCTTTCAAAAACATCAAAATCAACCTTAAACATTTGAACAGTAGAGTATGTATGTTTGTATGTATGTACAGTATGTATGTATTTATTTATGTTCTTACTTTTATTTTATTTTAATTGTTTTTAATAGTTACCCCTAGGATTAAGTTAAAACGGAACAAAAGAAACATCCCATGTACCTTTCACTAAGTAATATATTTATTAGCCATTGGCTGTTTATATTTGCTATATGTTTATATTTACAGTGGCTTCAAACTTGGCTCAGTCAGTCAGATTTTAGAGTCATAACTATCCCTTGTAAATATTTTGTGTTAAAAACAGTTGTGCGTTTTTTTTTTCAAGATTCTTTGATGAATAGAACATTCAAAAGAACAGCATATATTTGAAATAGAAAACATTTGTAACATTATAAAATGTAAAAAATGTAACAATTTGTTCGATACACATGCATACTGAACCGAAAGACTCATACCGAAGTTTTTTTTTTGTTTTTGTTTTGTAACTTTACACTGAAATTTTAAATCGAGGATAGACTGTTTGCATATATCTTTTTTAGTCAACTTTGCGTAAATAACCACCAGTAATATTTCTTCAGATTTGGAGATATTTGGATATCTTGTGTTATTTTATTGTGAAAATGAATTTGAGAAATAATTCTCACTCACATTTATTCTGTAGATCTCTTTCAACATCCTGCAGTTGTGTTTGAGAGAGTTGTTTGAGTTCCGCTTCATGCAGACAGACCCTAACTGGTCCAACTTCTTCTATAATAGTGAACAGAACAAGGTGAGCAACTACTAAGACAGTCATAATGGACATGTCTATTTTATCTATAAATCCATTGATTTGATCATCTGTAGTTTCATATTAACACTTCCAAATGCTGTTCTTTTTTACTTTCTATTCATCAAAAAATCCTGAGAAAAATATATCACGGTTTCCACAAAAATATTAAGCAGCAAAACTTTTTTCAACATTAATAATAAATGTTTCTTGAGCAGCAAATCAGCATATTTGAATGACTTCTGAAGGATCATGTGACACTGAAGATTGGAGTAATGATGCTGAAAATTCAGCTTTGATCACAGGAATAAATTACATTTAAAAATATATTAAAATAGAAAAGAGTTATTTAAAATTCTAATAATATTTCACAATATTACTGTTTTAATGTACTTTTGAGCATAAGTGACTTCTTTCAAAAACATCAAAATCAACCTTAAACATTTGAACAGTAGAGTATGTATGTTTGTATGTATGTACAGTATGTATGTATTTATTTATGTTCTTACTTTTATTTTATTTTAATTGTTTTTAATAGTTACCCCTAGGATTAAGTTAAAATGGAACAAAAGAAACATCCCATGTACCTTTCACTAAGTAATATATTTATTAGCCATTGGCTGTTTATATTTGCTATATGTTTATATTTACAGTGGCTTCAAACTTGGCTCAGTCAGTCAGATTTTAGAGTCATAACTATCCCTTGTTTTGTTTTTTTTAAACACACACACACACACACTATTGCTATCTTAAAGTCACTCATGGCTGGGTCTTCGGTGCACAGTGCTTTCAGCTTGATATGAATATCACATTCGAGTGCCACCATCTGAAGTGTACAGTGGGTTTTCCCTCAGGCACAGGGATGAATAATCTTTTCTTTTGGTTTGTTTGCTGCTTCGCTTTCTGTCAGCTTCTTATTCTCCGATATCCCGCTCATATTTTCTTTTTCTGAAGCTTGAAAAACCATGACAGGAGGACCATACCTCTCCGAAAAATCACCACCCTTGATGTTCTGCCCAGTAGTTTAATGAATAATGCTCATTATTAAACCATCAAAATAATGTCTGTCATAATGTTCAGCTGATTTTCCTGTTTTTTATTGTTTTAGGGTGTTGAATTGGTGGAGGCCTATATTCCGGATGCCATCTGGTATAACTTTGAGACGGTAAGACCATCCTCTCTTGCATCTGTAAATAATGGCAGAATGTTAATTTTGGGGTGAACTATTCCTTTCAAATCTGCTTGAAACCACCGACTTGTTGTTGCTCTGGTGAGTCAGAGGCAGAGGTTTTCGTTTAAGCCTCTCTAGAGTCTGGTTAGTGCTCTAAGAGCCAGATTAACTAGCACTGATCAGATCACTGATAGGATCGGTCCTTTGCATCTGTGTGTTGCACGTCTCAAAACGGGTCGATTACAGAAGCTGTGATTGGCAAAGCAGGTCTTGAGTGACCCTGGAGTTTGATGGAGAGGAGCAACATGGAGAACCTGATTGGATCTGAAATAACTTATGGATAGAGCGGAGACTCAGTGTCTGTCTCGTCGTCTTGGCATTGACCTAGTCACACAGTAAGAGAGAGGGGTGAGGGGTCTCGAGCTAGAGACGGGTAATGCAGGCAGTGTGAGGTGAAAAGCATGCTGAAAGTAAGTCTATCTTAAGCTCAGTTTCTGCTGAAATATTATAGAGACTACTTATTGTTATTACTGTAAAATCAATCATCAATATGGGATCTCTGTCAAACAGTGTAAGAAGCTTTCAGAAAATCCTTGTCACTTTATGGAATTGTATTATTTTATAAAAATGTTGGTGAATACCAAGTTATCAGCATTTTGTTGTAGTAATTGTATAGTTTGGCAGAAACTATGACTCTGTTCCTAAATCTAGTAAGCTGTTGATTATGCATATTTTTGAATCGATACTATATAGAGTATAATATATATTTTATATTATATTTATATTTGAATCAATACAAAAATTATTAAAGAGATAGTCACATGACGCACAAACAAATACAATATATTTTAATATATTTTTAGTGTTTTATTTTGATGTTGTTATTTTTTTTATTATAAAATGTTTATGAAACCCCAGTTTGGAAAACCTTGATGTAACGTAATGTTTAATGCAATTCATGTTGTCAAGAACAACAAATGGAACATATTTTTTATTTTCAGTATGGAACAATATTAGCCTATTTAATTTTTTTTTTTTCATTTTTGTCCCCTCCCATAATACAATTCAATACATAAAGGATATATTTACATTGTGATTTTTGTTTTGATTTATAGGGGGTAAAGATTACAGATCGCAAAGCAACAATTAACATGCACCTGCCAGCTGATAAAATTGGTTTACACCTGAGAGGCGGAGGCATTCTACCTGTACAAAGACCAAACGTCACAACTACATACAGGTAATGATGGGAAACTCAGAAAGCGTACCTGAAAATACATACAGCCTTAAATGACTAAAAAGCTTATTTTAAATTATTGCACTGTCACTAAACTCTGTCTATGAAAATACAGCCAATCCACTGTCAGGGAGTCCTGTAGCCCCGCCCACTTACATTAAACACATCTTAATGTCAAATAAAAACGTATCTGCTGCTTTTTATAGATTGTATTATAGTGTTTTAAACAAATACGTGATGTGACATGTGGCCAAGTATGGTGACCCATACTTGGAACTAGTGCCGTGGTATTCTTTGAATTACCATAGTATATGAATATGACAATCATTCAGTACTTGTTTCACAGCATCACTATAAAGTGGTTAATATTGCAAAGTGAGTTTATAATACCGAGAACGGAAAAATATTGAAATGTTTGAAACCTGCGTCAGTGTTTCGAACATTTATCTTTTGTTTATTATTCCTCTCAGAGGTAGTTCTGTGTTTTCATTCATCTCATTCCTGTTCATCTGCATGAGGCCTGAGTTTCTATTTAATGTTAGGAAAATTGTTTGAATTTCTCTCTGTGTTCAATAGCTATTTATTTTATAATGCTTTATTTCCCACTGACTATATTACACCTTCAGCAGTAGAAATGGAAATGCACTGTATCCCTTAAAGTATCTTTTGGGGTGCTTTAGCATTCAAAGTAGGGGGTGATAGACGAATGCATCACAAATACAAGGTGAAGTACAAGCTATTTAAAATTCATCCGGCTCTGCTGTACGGTGTCTGTGACATCTTATTCACAAACAAGAATCCCATCTGAACTTCAAAGGATCCGTTTTCTACCTGCTCTTCAGTTTCTGGTAAAAAGTTGTACATTTGTGTGATGAAATTTGTGTGTTCCCTCAGCCGGCTTCATCCCATGGGACTGATCATCGCACTTGATGACAACAAGGCTGCGTCAGGCGAGCTATTTTGGGATGACGGAGACTCTCGAGGTATTTTGGAGGAGCTAGATATGAATTAAAAGTTGTTGTTTTTTCTCCTACAATTCACTGTCAGAAACAAAAAATCTACCTCATACATGGCTCAATAACAAGAATGTTTTTTTGTTTCTTTTTTCCTGAAAGCCAGGTTGAGTCAGAAGTTCAGATTTCTACTTATATTTCTTTTTTTTTTCTATCTCTTTTTTGGCTATTTTTTTAATCAGAACAAAATGTATTTATGTTTCATTAAAAGTAAATTTACTAAATAATAATAATAAATAAAAAAATACATTTATATAAGATTTTTAATTTGCAAGGACAGCTGTGATTTAACCTTATGACAGATATTAATTCATAGAGTTAACACACATTTTGCTTGGATGCATCCAAGACTTGTAATTTTAAATTAGCAGATTTTGCAACATCAAAATGTTCAATAAATTAACAATAATAAAAAATAAATGTTTGAGTTTGCAAGGCATAAAAATACATGAATTTGAGCAACGAATGTAAGCAACACTGGCTTGAAACTCTTTCAAATTGGTCACAGGTTCATACTTCTTGTTATCTTTTTGAAGCTAAATGATGTTTCTTGGAAAAACAAATAATACTTGTGTTACTCACATTGAAGTTGATTTGTCTCTCATAACTTTTCCTTCTGTCTGTTTCTTAGATACCGTTTCATCCGGTGTTTACATTCATTACCAGTTTTCTGTGGCTAATGTACGTCATCCTAATATCACATTTTCTGTCTGTTTGTTTTTTTAGATTGCATTACATTGTATGTCCAAAGCACGTTTAAGTCATTTTTAAATGGCATCTATTACAAAAATCTGTAGTAATATCTTTTGTTTGTTTTTTTTTTTTGGCTGGATCAGGATGTTTTGTCAATGCAAGTTGCCCACAATGAATACACGGATCCAAACAACTTGAAGTTTGAGAAGATCACAGTGATGGGAGTGAACACCGCGCCCGCTCTCGTGCGCGTGTCGGATGGCAACACTGTTATCACTCTGAATGTGTCCCAGATTAATCACGATTCTTCCACGCAGGTAATCATAGTTTTTCTTAATATTTTGAATAAGATTTAATTTTTTATAGTTTCTGCTGTTGTGTTCATTTTATTTAAAGTTTTAGTAATTCATTTTTTTTCTTTTTTCTTTTTTATTAGTTTTTGTTGTTTTTAAATGTCTATATAGATTTAGGTTTTATTTCAACTTTAGTTATTTTAGAAAACTAAATGAAAATCAGAAATGTTGCCTTGGAAACTAGCTGAAGTAAAATAGTTTTTTAAATATTTTATTTATTTTATTTTAAGTAATGATTTTTTATGGTTTTAGGTTTAGTTTGAGTAACTACAATAACTTTGGTTTAAAGCCATTTATAGCAATAGTCAAAAGTCACTGTGACAGTCAGTTCACCTCAAACATTAAAAGAAAAAAATATATATTAAAAAAATGTAAATATTTAATTAAAATTATATTTTGCGGACATTATGTAATTTTTGTTACTTAATTAATTAATTTATGTATTTGTTTATTTGTTTGTTTGCTATAAGGAAGTAATGAAAACCACCTTTCTCAGATTTTTTTTATTTTTTTCATTAAAAATAATTTAAATATAGTGTAACAAAAAACACCATGAACTATGCTTACATTTGCATTTGCATGCTTAAAGTTTTGGACTTTTGTAACGACAGTAACATTTGTATTGTTTTTTGCATTGTAATAATATTTATTACAATTTCACACTGTAATTACATTTTTTTTGCATTACAGTACTAAATAATACAGAAGTATGCAAACATACATGATGCACTGCAACTGAAGTTAAAAATGAAAGCCAACAGCCAAATAAATGGACAGAAACCTCAATCTAATATTTCCATTAAAGCCAAGGTTTTCTCAACAAAAAAACATCTGAAAAAAGCAGTCCTTCAAAGGGCTTTACAGAAGTCTCAGAAATGTATTAACTAATTTGATATTCGGAGAACATCTCTAAACGAAGTGAAAAATGAAAAAAAAATCACAGCCGACGTAACGTAATTAGGACTGTGAGCCAGTCCGACAAACCATGTCCACAAAATGGAGCCTGACTTCTGTTTAATACGGAGCAGGATTCCCTAGGGTACCAGCAGAGGCCCTGTCATTCCAAGTGAGTGTCCAGGGATGCTCACGGACCAGAGATTGAATTTGTCAGGGCTCTCAAAAGCACACATGCATTAGCCTATGATGAAGGACATCACTTTCTCCCAGAGCTCAAGGTCTTGGAATGACAACATGAGGACGTGCGGACTTTGGTCTTAAACTACGCTTGACACATTAATGTCAGCTGCTGTAATTTATGGCACGTCCGCCAACTAATGCAAACGCAACAGTGTTTGTCATTTTTGTCATCCACGTCCTTTAACTAGAGGCATCATCGGCGCTGGCTAGGATTCTGACGTGAATACACCTGCTGTCTTTTGTGTGATATGGAATGATAAAGAGGCCAAAAGTATTTAAATGGAACATGTGAAATTTGACCGTGTTTATTGAAATTTGTCCATAATTTATTACATGTCATAGGCACTGACTAGGATTCTGATGTGACTATACTGCTGTCTTTTGTGTGATATTAAAGTATGGAAGGCTATAGCGACCAAAAGTCTTTAAACGGAACGCATTAAATTTGACTGTGTCAACACGCACGGTTTGTCTGCATAAATGTGACAACGCACAGCAGCCAATGAAATTTCTGCATTTCTGCATACTTATACAAAACTCTGACGTCATGTTTATTCATGAAGGATGCCGTAATACACTGGTATGCACGCATGCAAACATCAGATATATTATTTGTTCATGGGGATAATGCATCAGTATGCTGTTTGTGATGTCAGTCTATTGTCATTATTTGTCATGTCCTTTTTAGTTGTTTAACATTCCTTCTGAGGTAGAAAAGCCTTAATTTACATTGTAGTATGGATGCACCGATACCACTTTTTCCAGTACTAGTCTGATACCGATACTTTAATTTTTTTGTACTCGTCGATACCGATACCGATACCTGTATTTTCATAGCATTTGTCATTTTTAAAAATATTGGGTACAGATACCAAAAAAAAAAAAAATGTTAGCTGGCTTAATTTAGTAAACAGATTTATTTCAGTTATTTTCACACTTAATTATACCTGTTAAAATGTATTGTACAAGCTTTTGCTATTTTCACTGTTCATGTTATTGCTCTATGGTATTTCATCTTTAATTTATTGGCGCATTAGAGCTGCTCCATTGAAGCGGCTCAATACTGTAATCACAAGATTTTTTTCCTGTAATAATGCAGTGAATCACTCGTTATACATACAGTAAATCTTGTAACAGCGATGAACATATTTTCTGAAATATGACATATTCCAAAACGACTCATAAATTGCAAAACACTCATGCAAGCAAAACATGCGCAACGCACACACACATTTGAATTTGTGTGGAATACGAGAGACACGTATAGCCTAGCGTATTTCAGACAGGCTGCTATTTTCACGTTTAAAATAAATGTTGCTTATAGTGAATGCCCTTATAATTTTTTTGCATGTTTTATATTTACGGTTTAGTTTTAATCCAAATGATGCGTGTGCCTAAGTGAGCGAACAGCAATCAAGATCATGCAACAGAAGTGTACTCTCTTTCTCTCTCCCGCTCTCTCTCTCTCCTTACGGTCAAAGTAACTTTTGTGACTTGTGCATTGTTTTACTTGCTTTTGACACATTGTGGTATCGGCTTTTAGTATCGTAGAATTTTTATGAGTACGAGTACGAGTGCAGGAGCGTAGTATCGGGCCCGATACTGATACCAGTATTGGTATCGGTGCATCCCTACATTGTAGCATTATTTTATTTATTCTAACACAGTAGATATAAGCAATCCCGCAATAAACTAAAGAAAGGATTAATATGTGAGTAAATCTAAAGGTAAATTTGATTTCAAACATGGCCAGAATGTGCATGCATTGAGAGACACATTCAAATCCGTTGTCTTAACATGGTAAAACTGTGCATCTATAAATGTACTAATAAACACAGCGAACACTGACACCCTAAAACGGCCAGTGTTTGTGTGTGTCTACGCAAATGAAACATGTTTAAAATTGACAAACAGTGTGTGTTGACACAGTCAAATCTCACGCATTCCATTTAAAGTATTTTGGCCCCCTACTGCCTTCCATATTAAAGGGGTCATGAAACTGAGAATCAAATCAAAATGTTCTGACATCACGATTTCCTCTTTTATGTAATCAAGGAGGCGTTCTGAACAGCTCATGTCTGTCCACCAATCACAAGAGCCATAATGCTGTTAGGTAAAGAAAATCTGTTAGGTCTACTGTTAGGTAAATCATTGGCTGTTTTTGGTCTTCTAGGTGCTACATCTGGAAAATCTGGAGCTGGATCTGGGGAAGGACTACACAGTCAACTGGGAGTCCAAAATCTCTGTAAATATTGATTGCTACCCTGAAGGGGATGAAAATCAGGCCAAATGCGAAGCCCGCGGCTGCATCTGGGAGGTCAGAGAGACGATATTCAGTATTCAGCCCTGTCATTTTCAAATAGTCTGTACTCTGTATACAGAAAGTGAATATTTTGCTGTAACATTTGCTGTAACGTAATTGCTTTTATTCCCTTTTGTAGCCATTAAGTAATCCTCAGTGTTATTACGCCGAGAATCACGGCTACATCACCAGCAACAAGGTTGAGACGGCAAGTGGCATCACTGTAGATATAGACCGCAATACCGAATTCCCAAGTCAGCGGTCTCGATCTCGAGACATCAGCAAGCTACGGGTGGATATCACATACCTGAGTGGAAGAAGCCTACGTTGGAAGGTATGCTTTCCTAAATTTAGGATTACGACCAAGATAATGACTGAATACACAATTTACATTTATGCATTTGGCAGAAGCTTGTGGAGGTTAAAAGAGGTTCCTTTGGCAATAATGCAGCAGTTTTACAGTAGTTATTTAAAAAATATATTATTATAATTTTTTTTTCAATTAACACCAACATTTAAATTAATAAACTATTATCAGAGGTTGCTAATTGTAATGACAGTATAATATA